CACACACACACATATATATATATATGTATATATATAAGAAATACAACCTAGTAGCTTATTATATTTTAGCACAGAAACATTTTATTGCATCAGAAGTATACAGACACAAGGATTTTTCTCAATAGCTAATTTCTCAGTTTGACTAAAATATCTAATCAGCAACCCTAAAAACCATAAGATTCATTATAAATAATCATAAAATATTAATGCAAATTCTGGTTTTGTAGCAATGTACGTTTATATAAACATTTATCTGGGGCAGCGTAACATAAAATAAAATGAGGAAAAATACCACAAAATAAAATAGGTTTTATTAGATATATGTATTGGTATATAGAATGTTGCTTTCTTGCTTAAACTTATTTTGCCGATATACCTTCATACCGATTTCTATCATTACAAATGTTTGCGAGAGAAAGCATAAATCTGTCTATAAGAATGTATAATTCTATGTATTCGGGAAAATCTGGAAATATTCTTTAAAGAGAAAAAAACAACCTGACACTTCATTTGGTTATTAAAACATAACTGTTTAATCATAGAGCTCTGCTCACATTTGTATTGTCATAGATGCGCGTATATTTGTTCACTAGATAAAGGGAGTTAAATCCCATTTCACAATGTAGCAATGTGTATGCAGGATTTCGATCAATAAACATTAGCTAAAAGAGAAAATCATTTAAAAACGACTTTTCTTGTAAACAGTTTGCGGCATTTTAAAATATTGGATAAGCGTCAAGCGAAGCTGTTCACGGAAGAAAATCTTTCACGATAATAGGAGTCATTCCATGGGAAAAAAAGATGTATTATATATATATATATATATATATATATATATATATATATATATATATATATATATATATATATATATATATATATAAAAGATTTAGATACTCAGCCGCTCTCAAATAATGTCGAAGACTTAATAGATGTGCTGAAATAAACATACACTTCTTTTGTCTATTATGTGTCGCGTTCCTTCAGGACATAGTCGATCATTGCCCTCCACATCTTTCTGTCCCTTTTAGCTCTTAAGTTTTTAGCTCTTAGGTTTTGTCTTTTTGCTATTTCTCACAAAATCTGTTCTATCATCCATTTACTCAAGTTCATGAAGTATGTTACGCGCTGCTTTTCTCTGTCCTTCTTTGCCTCAATTTGTCCTGTGAGTATCAAATTTTCCAATCCCTCGTTTTCCAATTACGTACCCCAGAAATTTAAACTGCTTCATCCCGGTGTTAAATGTAAAGTAACTTTTTGTTTCCATTTTCACCAGAACCTCATTGTTGCTCACATGTTCGGATCATGATATCCTTAGCATCTTTCTCTAGAAACATATTTCTGTTGTTTCAAGGTTCTTCTTCATCCTTGAGGTGATTGTTTAGCATTCACTGCCATACAGGAGGACAGATATCAAGTAACATTTCAATACTTTTTTCTTTGTTTCTAACGAAATTTTTCTGGTTTTGTTTAGCTTAAGGAATACATCTTTGGCCATCTTAATACGTTTTTGTATCACAGTGTCGCACTTTCCGTCCACTGTTAAAACACTTTCCAGACACTTACATGTCTGAAATAATTTAACTTATTTTTGACATTTGTGTGTCATTTGAAATATTAGCACTGTAAAGTAATTTCGGGTCTTTTTATGTGAGTCTATATTTTTTTCACACTTTCAATGTGACAAGACAGATCTTCTCTCAAATCAAATCTTTCTATTCAGATACTGTAAAATCAAAGACAACAAAGAAAGAAGTCGAAAGATACATGAATACATATATCTATATATATAACTGGATGAAAATTCGACGAAATAGTAAATATATATGAGACAATATGGAAAAAAATAGATTTTCTTTTGCAACACGCTGACGCATCTGTCTATATTTCTGAGATGAGGTATTATGTACAGTATTTACATTATTCAGACTATTGTCCTCATCTTTGTCGCCATATTTATTACAGCGTTTCGGCCGTTGTACGCTCCGGTCTTCTTCATGTGGTTGGAATGTCGAATTGAATCCTTTATTTCGCTCACTGGGGTAGACTGTTCTAGTTCCACGTGCCATGTTTCAATGGATGTCAGTTGTCAGTTATCTCCTGTTAAGGACACATGGCACAGTGGATAAAGGCGTTGGTTAGATCCAGTGAAAGGACGCAAAGAGTGTGAGTTCAATACCCGGTTAAGACAGTGGACAACATGGAGTTAACAGGAGATAACTGACAACTGACATCCATTAAAACATGGCACGTAGAACTAGAACAGTCTACCCCAGTAAGCGAAATAAAGGGTTCAATTCGACATTCCAACAACCTGAAGAGCGTACAGCGGCTGAAACGTTGTAATAAATATGGCGACAAAGACGAGGACAATAGTCTGAATAATGTAAATGGTGTACGCTGATGCGTGTTGAAATCCTCACAGTATTGCTGAAACTAGTACTAAAAATTTTGTCGAGATTTACAAATTCTGTTCTACTGTGTTTATATTTACAGCACTACTACAGTGCGTTATATTTTACCAGAATTAAATATATATAAAAACTTAAAGAAAAGGTATGCAAAAAACAATATTGTATTTTTATAAAATAAGCATTTTTTTTATTTTAATCATTAAATATTTTTTTAAATAGTTGGAATATTTTGTATGTTAAACAATAACACTTTTAATTCCCCCCCCCAAATTAATGAAAATCTATTGTACTAAGCTACGCATCCTAATAAAACCAACTGTACTTTTTACCAACTTAGCTGTTTGCACTTTTCCCCAAAATTTGGTTTCGAACGGTTAACGTATATCTATTTTAGAGAGTGTGACAGATGGACGGACGGATGGACGGAAGTTACAGAAATTTTTATATAGACTACTTTGACATGCTTAGCCTATAAACCAGCGTCACCAGAAAAAATAAATTTACTTCACAAGAACACAAGGTTTTCATCAATTTTAGCAGTTTTATTTAGTTAAGAAATAAAAATACAATTTTATTTATTTTAAAGATAAAAATGAAATTTAATTTATTTGTTTAAAAAGTAAAGATAAATAAAGATAAAATCGGAGTTGAAATTAGTCAAAATGTAATTTCTGTAACGATACTGTTAACGTAAAAAGCTTGCGTTCAGCTGCTTAACGTAAATCACGTTTTGTTCTCGTGAGACAAAATTCTTTTGCGCACGTCGGCAGTTCATCGGTGAAACATCTTAAAGAAGAAGGTTTTTAATACGACACACACACATACATACATACACATAGACACACACACACACACACACACACATATATATATATATATATATATATATATATATATATATGACAAGCTAGAAATTTTCTCGTGGCGCGTTTCATCCGTTGGGATTTCATCGGACTGGGCTTTGTTGGTGTCACGTCTACATATGCGCACGAAATACGTCACAAGAAATTTTCCAATTTGTCATATTTTTTAAAATGCTATTTGTTGATATATAAAATTATACAAAATTATATATCGTTATATCACACACACACACACACACACAAACATATATATATATATATATATATATATAACATCTTAAGAAATAAGAATAGTAACGTAAACAATCACAACACGCGAATAATTCTTTAAACTAAGAAATATGTTTAATTTGATATATACATTTTGTGATATACATTTTGCATTTATTTTAAAATGCCGGCTCCTTTCATTTTTACAGACAGTATTTTAAAGCTGTTTATAAAACATTAATAATAGGTATAATATATATATATATATATATATATATATATATATATATATATATATATATATATTTTTCAATTTATTTTGCTCAAATGTTATTTTATTTATATTTGCCCTGATTTTTTAATTAAACAATATCTTTTATCCAGCTTGCATCTACTGTACTGAATATTTGAGAAATCTTGTCAGAAAAATATGCGTCCTCTGGCAGGATTCGAACCTGCATTCAATATGGCGTACCGGCATTAGATCTGACGTGCCTAACTGCTCGGTCACGTAGGACTTACTGTTTTCAGTGAGGCCAGATATTGTGTGTGGGAAGGAGGCATCAGCTGCCAGGCTCCGATCTTCTTGTCATAAATGTATTTCCCCTTATTGTGCGTGGCTTAACAAAATAACAAACCGTGTTAGCGAAACAATTGAAAAGAAGTAGTCAGTTGTCGTATGAAGTAACTTACGATAGGGCAGGAAAATAATAAGAGTTTTGAAAAGAAAACAACTAGGGAAGGAAGAAACGGAAAGAAAACAGAAGAAACTGGATAAAAGTGTTTGTAGTTAATTTTCTTGTGTATTTGCAGAAATCTGATGCCCATAATACTTACATAATACTATTGTTTATTCAACTCCGGACTTTGTCAATTAATATCGAGAGGTCGGTGTGTAACTTACGGGGTTTTTCTCCGAACGTGGATTCTTCTCGCTAGTATGTAAGCGACATTGTTTTTTTTTCTTCCCCCTTGGATGGAATGCTTATATATCTACCTGCCACCCGGTTATCCCACGTGTACACATCCTAAGCGCACGTTGAGCAACAACCTGTTTACATGTCGAGTGCAGCCAATGATAGAAAATGAAGGCGTAAATGTGTATCTGAGAGCTAGGAAGCTATCTTTCAAGTCATCCATCTTAGCCACCTGGCTTATTTGACGCTTTGGTGCGACAACTTTCGTGTCTCTTAGAGTATGATCAGTACATACTGGGGTCACCACAGATTAACTTCTCTTCGAATAAATGTTCCTTATTGACATTAAATATGATTCAAGTCTTCTGTTATCCACTTCGTGAATCACATCCTACAAAGGTTAACGGATTCAACCTCATAATTATTCGTATTTCAAACCCCAATTGTAACTGGACTTAGTTCCATAAGTATCGTCCCAGAAATTAGTTTCAAAGAAATCCAGAACAAAGATTGAGAAGTAATAAAAAGACGAAGCAATGACACTGGAAATAGGAATTCGCTTTTCTCCAGTTATTTTCACAAATAAAAAATAGACTTACAGCCATATCGCGTTGAAATACTTGTTCCCTTACGATCACTGTAATTAAGAAACGATGAGCCTGTTCAGGACCTAGATGGGTGACCGCTTGGAAATATCAGGTGCTGTAAGTTGGGATGTGCAGGTATGTAATTGATAATGGCCGGTATTGTTAATCGGAGAGCCGAGTTCCATTTTCCGTTGGGATCATTATATTCACTTACGCACAAATACCATTAGGAAAGGTATGGATCCACCTCTTCTTCCCCCAGCTATGGGTTAATTAGTAAGACTTGTATTGCTAAATCATTATTATCTCCAGAAAAATTCCTAGAATCTGAAAGTACTTTCTGGCTTTAAATAAGTGTTGATAATCCGTAGAAAACGAATCAATCATAAAAACAAATAAAAATAACAAAATTAGTTAAACATTGTTCTATTTTGACAACACACACTTGTCTTTAGATTTTGTATTGACTATTTTTTCCATTTAGCTGACCCCGTTGCCATTAACGAATCTAAAAAAACTTCTAGCAGGTTCTTGCAGCGCCGGCATTTTCCCTGTACAAACTTACAAGAAGTGTCTGCTTTTCTTACTGACGTTTGACCATCGTGATGGTGTTGATTTGGTTGGGGGTTGGGGGTGAGGTAATGCAAATAAAGCCCAGTGTATAGCTTCTATTTTTTTTTAAAGTGCTTTTGCTTTTTTTTTATTGGGCAGCAACGGAATGTGTCTGTCCGTAAACATTGCTTTTAATTCGCAACGATTGTTTGCCTGGATGTCAAGCAACGGCATTTCCGACGATCAAGTTACGCTGTGTGTCCCCTGTGTGTACATTCTGTCTACAAGGCTTCATGAATGACATAGCAAGTATCCTGCCTCAACCGGTAAAGACGTTCCACAGAAAATGCTTTTTCTTAATAGAAATAAATGTCAAAAATATATCTTTTAAAGGTTCATATTTTACTAGTCTTTATTATTTAATCTTTCGTGATAAAACAGCCAACATTTTCAAATCTTCATTCAAAGCCATGTTACTGTACTTATTTAAAATTTACTTTGAAGTTGGACTGTTATTTTTAAATTTTGATCTAATTAAACTATCTTCAACTGAAAAAATATTGGAATTTAATTTTTTTATAATACACATTTAATGATTCAAGGCATCTACTTAAAGATACCCAAAATATGGTTTTCTGTTCAAGTAATTTATTGTCAGCCACGATCTTTACAACATAAGATATGCAGATGACAATGTCGATAGCAGATACATAAAGGAAACTAGAGGAACATCGACAGAAGGTAGTAAAAGAAAGTAAAAAAAAGCCCATTTTTATGCAAGATAATGCTCCCTGTCACAAATCAAAATTGATGAAGGAATATTTGATGAGAAGCAGGTGAGTGTTATGACATGGCCACCCCAGTCTCCTGACCTCAACCACATAGAAAACTTATGGAGCTTTATAAAGTACAGGCTCTCGAGAAAGCAGTTGAGCGTATCCTGCATAAAAATGAGCTTAGTGGGGTCGATTTGCACCCTTTCAGCAGAAGGGAGCAGACAAGACACTAAAATTCTCTTGCACTGAGGGCATTTTCAATAGGTTTTAAGAAACCAGTTACATGAAAAGAAAAGCATCCCCAGAACGTTATACTGAACGGATGCTAAATTCAAAGAGCTTTCAAAGCTTCTTCGGATTTTAGATCGCTTATCCTTTGAATTTAGCTCAACTTTTCGTTTCATCGAAGAGAACATTTAGTAAAAAATCAGGTGAGTCACTTTTATCGAACAGCACTGTATGTATATATATATATATATATATATATATATATATATATATATATATATATATATATATATATATATATATATATATATATCGTCAAACCCAGGGCATTATATACTATTTTTGAATTTTTTTATACATTGGATTTCGGATTAAACAGTTCGACATTAAATGTGTCAATATATTTGCTATATATATATTTTAAATAATATTAATAAAATAAAATATAAAATTATTACCAAATGTTAGTCTGTATTATTTTTAAATTATATTAATTCTCATTCGGAAATTGTGAAACTAACAACACATATTAATATTCAATACATGCTTTTTCGTTTAACCGTTATACATGACGCCACTTTGAAATAATTACAATTCCAACGACCTAAAGATCTAAAGAATTTGCCATTATTGTCTATTATATTGACAACACCCAGTTCTTGATAATTAACGACATAGTCAAAAGTACTAACAAAACAAAGAAGGAACATGGAATTTAAAAATTTCATTTTTAACTTCAATGTCGATATACAAAATCTCTCTTGGAAATTAAAAAAGATTTCAAATAGATTTTGGCGGGGAAATTCTAGAAAATTTGTTAATTCTTGCTGTCTAAACACACCATATATATATATATATATATATATATATATATATATATATATATATATATATATATATATATGCATGGTGTGAACGAAAATTGAAATAGGAAAAATTCTTCGCGTTGGCTTTGACACAAATATTCTTGATAACGATATGAATTCCTCTCTTCTCTCCGCAAACTATGGGGTAAATAGTAGAGATTTTCTAGCTTAGTTTGGAATCAGTATAAAAGGAAAACTCTGGATCCAAACCCACTTAGGCGTGATGCTGGCCCTTCCACTTTGTAAAACCTACCTGCCAAGGAAACCGCAAGAACACATAGCACGGCGAGGACGTTGCCTTATTCTCTTCAGGGACATTTACGGAAGCCATATACATACATGCATACATACATATATATATATATATATATATATATATATATATATATATATATATATATATATATAGAGAGAGAGAAAAAAAGAGAGAGAGTGCTTGTGTGTGTGTGCATAATGTTACATTTTTTAGATCTTAATCACTATGTAATTCGTCTTCTATTCGAGAGAACCGATCGTTTAAATCTTAAAATTATGTCTCTTACGCGAATGCTTGCCACGATTTTTAATAAGATTTAAAAAACGTAACATTATACTATATGTAGCTCTATCTTAAGGATATTGAACACTGTATTCAATAAAATCAACGATAACCTATATTTAATTGAACTTACCTTTCAAGTAATTTTTTATACAGCGGATTTCAGAAAAACTGACATCATTTATTAATCTAATAACTTGAACAATTCTCATCCAAATGATCTAAAATTTTAACTCTGTGTTTAGAAACAATACAAAATGATGTTACATTTTTTTTCGTTTCAAATTTAGAAATGCCATTCACTGGAAAAGAAAATACATTTTGTGCTCGAACAGAGTTCAACAAATCTGTGCAGTTGTGAGAAAATTCGCTAAAAATGCACCAACTCCAATGCAGATTTGGACATGACACAAACATTTATAGAGGAAGGATATCTATGCAGCGCAAAAGGATTTGGACGACCAGCATTATAGAAAGAAATGGTGGAGTAGTGCGAATATTGAAAACTTGTGAAATCGTTCATGTAATCTACATACTTTGAATTACTCATTGAAATTTTAATGAATAAGCCTGTTTAATTTAATTTTCCTACAATACTCAGATATTTGTATTTCAAATGATATCAAATATATAATCACCTTATATATGATTTTATATACGTTTCTTTAAAATTTGTACAAAAGAATAATTTTCATCCTATAAAATCACAAACCATATATTATAAATAATAGAATAGAAATACTTTTTCTTAGAATATGTCAACAACCTTACCTGATTCATCGTTTAGTTTTCGCAATTTATAGCGCACAGAGCGTTTTCGTTTTATGGCATATAAAACTTTCTTGCAATTAAATAGTGGTATGAAAAATACCGATATGCTTTGCATTTCTTACATGCTCAAAACAAGGTAAGTCGACATTAATGAATTTAAAAAATATTCACCCCTTAATATGAGGCTAATTAAAATTGTCTTTCTACTTTTATTAATGAATGAAACGCAAATAGATATTTATTCACTTTATTTTATTTCTATTTGCCAGGAGGAACAATTAAACAATTCTTTTGCTTTCCTAAATCGCAAGGTTTAATTTTCGTGTCAAACTTAAACACAAGCGGCCAACCACCAATGTTTGCAACAGCAAAACGGACACCAATTATCCATACACTCCGCAGACAGTCAATTAAAATCTCCCGCTCTGAATTATCTTGCAAAATTGTTATTCTTGACATGATGTTTTTTTTTTTTTTTGTTTTGTTTTTATGTTTCTTTCCTTTTGTAAATATAGCAACTAAATATTTTCTTAGCGGAGGAGTCGACTATACACTTTTTAAACATTAGACAAAAATAATCAAAGAAAATTTAAAAATATTAAAACTCTTTCGACCATAAATAAATCTAATAACAGTATTGTACAAAGTTGAACTTCAAGAAAGACAATATTGATTTGGAATGTGCGACGTTAATCAAATAACCTCGGCACACATTTGGGAAAGAACGGAGTTGTTTCTCCCCTAATTTATCCTGATATCGCATTCACAATGTATATCCGCAATAAGTAAGGCAGTTTTTCCAATCTGTTGACATTGGATACAATTCTGTTATTATCTCATGCCTTTGACAACAAGTATTACTTTTAAGATTATAAATTGAAAAAAAACAAACAACATCTTAGTGACGCGTTTCGTCCAGATAAAGAACTTCTTCAGACAAATTAATGGAATCAGTTTTAGAGTGGGAAATTTAGAGGTGGTAAGAAATGCAACAGCCCGTATATACAGTTTGCATGGAAACGTTAAAGATACAGAGACGCTCAAATTTAAATTTAAATTTTGACGCCCGGTCTAACTTAGTCTATGACTTCGAGCGAATGAAGCCTGTAGAACTGTACCAAACAACGAATACACATCCCTTGATGGCTTTCATCATCAATCATCAAATACATAGCACTTGTAACTCGAAGAGAAAATAATAACAAAATCAAGATGTTGACGTTTTACATTACTTCAAAAACAAAAAGGGTTAGGAAGGAAACGACATCGATAACAGAAAGTGCGAAGATAACAGTTATTGGGTATGACAAACCTATTTCCAAGAAAAATTGTTTTAATAAAAAAAAAAAAAAAAAAAAAAAAAAAAAAAGCACTGGCTGCTCGGTCAATG